CGAGTCTGGAGGAGGCCAAAACGAAACGACGGCCACTGACGAGATTTATGAACGGCGCCGCCGTCAGGCCCAACCTCCAATTTTGTAGGACTAGGATATTTTCCTATTATCCCAAAGGAAAGAAAGAAGCAGAGGATATTTGACCTTTTTTTATTTTTAAAGACAATAATATGACCTTGCAACTGCTTCCTTGTCATGAACAGAACATGGGGTCATCATATCCCTATTTGGCTGGAATAATCTCCCAGAGTCCCAGCTATAATCACTAGACGAGAGCATAATATATTATATCAAGGAAGATGGTAGGTGGAAGATACCACACATCTGAGACGCTTCTTGAATCCCTTCCTTTTTTTTTTTTTAGAAAACAACCCGAACAGATGCTAGGGATGCTGTTACGAGCAGGCACCACTAGCACTACAGGGGAGGCTCCATCTATTGGTGGGGACCAGCACCTGCTGGAAAGCGCGTCCAGCGTCCCTGAACATTGTGGTTCCCCCCCCGTTCTCTTTTCTTCTTCTTCTTCTTCCTCCTTTTTATTTTGTGTGCGGGGGCACACTAATGAGACCTGTCACACTCTACCTCAACATCCCTGCCCAGCGTATCCGCTGCTCCCCCATCTACAGGAGCACCTCTCACTCCAAGATTGTACCGGACAACTGTAATAGGCACCAGACAAAAAAAGAAGGCACCAGCGCTGGGCAGGAGAGCCCATCCAGCCTTGGTTGAAGCACTGTCGGGCGAGCCCTGTTGCGAAGTCCACTTTGGACACCAGGCATGATCATCATATACTAACAGCGATTTCGTCAAAACAGAAATTGAAAATCCAAACTGTGGCCAAAATTTGATGAAATTTAGGGTAGGACATTCTGAAAACGCCCTATCCCCTCGATGTATGGGACTCAGTCGAAGTCCACATACATCCAGGCTGAAAAACGCCGGACCCCTTCGATGTATGCGGACTTCAGCTAACTCCCGATACATCGAGGGGATAGGGCGTTTTCAGAATGTCGTACCCTAAATTTCATCAAGTTTTGGTCACAGTTTGGATTTTCAATTTCATTAAAAAAAAACTATGTCCGTTTTGACGAAATGGCTGCTACTGGCCCCGCAAGCACACCATGATGCCCCCCCCCCCCCCCCCCCCCCCCCCCCCCCCCCCCGGGAGTCCTTACCTAGGGTATCCCTCCCTGAGCTAGCACAGGGAGTGTCTAATGGCCCAAGCCAAGGTCTAAAGTATAAGAGCCCTACTGTTACATGCTGTACAGGCCCCAACCTGTTTCCCTACAGGGAAACTTCCAGGCTCTTGCCTGGAAGCTTCCTTCTGACAGGGCCTACAGGCCCCAGCCTGTTTCCCTACAGGGAAACTTCCAGGCTCTTGCCTGGAAGCTTCCTTCTGACARGGCCTACAGGCCCMASCCTGTTTCCCTACAGGGAAACTTCCARGCTCTTGCCTGGAAGCTTCCGCAGGGTCTAGGCCAGGGAGGCATTGGCAAGAGCGGCCTCCTACGCATASGGCATTGGCACGGCCAGCCTCCGGCACGGGCCAGCACTATAAAGGACTGGCCCGCCCTGCAGGAAAAAGAGCAGTTCGGCAGTTGTAGTCTTCAGGATTCGGGAGTAGCACTCTGGAGGAAGCGCTGCGTTAGAGTAGTAGTAGCGTTATCTTGTAGTCTTCAGCGCTGGGCGCAGTAGGTAGCTGTAGTCTCCAGCGGTGGGCGCCATAGCTAGGATAGTGGTAGAGAGAGAGAGAGAGAGCTTGGGCGGAGGCCAGGAGTACCTACCTGCAGCGCCGTTGCTCCAGCTTCGTCTTCGAGGTACCTGCAGCACAGCGCCACATCACAGGTTAGTACCTGGTTCGTAACAGTGAGAGAGAGAGGGTTCTTCTTCCTCTTCTTCTCAGTCCACCATCTCCTCCTCTCCCTCTCAACCCCTGACTTCACTGCATTTTGCAGACTGCGAGAGAAGAGATACCGGGGTTGGTGATATCGGATCCAGACTCGACTTTTGGGGACTT